GGTAATAATGAAAAAGAAAATTACACATTTTCATTTTTATTTTTAAGAAGAACGGGGAAAAAAACAGGTGCATGGTTTTAAATCGAATTTTAAAACCGGGCATTTTAAGGCTAATATGTGTTTTATATTTCTTATATATTTGGAATGTTGAGTAAAAATAAAATATGTGTAAGAAAATCCGTTTTTTCACGGCTTATACGGTGGGAGAGACGCGCCCCTCTGGGTTCTTCCCCGGCTAGCCTCGCGCGGGAAGCGTCCAATGATCGATCAGGAGGACGCGTCCTCACTCTTTACAAGACCACCGGAAGTGAATTTTACTTAGTCCACGTGGACCATAGTCTTGTAGAAAATGCATATATTTATAAGAATGTAGAAGAGATTGAGTAATTTTGCGCTCTATCCTATCTTCGACTCCGGGGATTTCCGACATTTGTATGCTAGAAGTTAGAAATTTTTGGCTTACGACGAAGAAAGAAATTCCGTTCTAAAGCTCGCATTATTTATTTTATAATAGGAAATTCTATTATTATTTTGTTTTATTGAAAGAGATATTGATAATGAAATGTAACTTTTGGCTTTTTTTCCATTTCAAATTCAACCTTTGCTAGAAATAAAAATAAGCGGAGATAGAGTTGTAAATTTTAATTAATACACGTTACGATAATTACTAGAAGTGCCATGTAACGATTTACTCAATCTGAAACGTGTACAACATTTAATTGCGCAACTCTCTTCGTTTCTCTCATTTGACCTTAAAACAAGTTCACCCATTTTCTCTTCACAATAGTTGACCGTAGGCATTTCCTTTCTTTGTTTCCACCTTTTTTAATCTACCACGTACATACGTATGCTAAAAAGTTTTCTGCACTGTTTTATGTATCGCCCGTTTCTTCGCTTTTCAGCGAAACAAACATTCGAAATTTTCACTGAAACTGTAATTACCTAATATCACATGTATATATTTTTTAATTTAACATATGCAAATTCACGAATGGAACGTTTCATATTTTTGGAATTAATAATTAATAGAATACTCTGCTTTCTCTATCGAATTTATCGAATTGTTTGTTGTAAAATTAAAATTGAAAAACTAAGTCGCGGACGATTACTCTTATCGTTCGATGGTATTGTAGATACCTTTCAGCTAACAATAAGTAAGCGTAATTCTTCAAAGTTGCCGCGGGCCAATTAGCCGG